TCCCCCCCCCCCCCCCCCCCCCCACACACACACACACACACAGAGACAGACCGGATACAAGCACCAACAATGTGAAAGGCCTCATTATCAGATAGCACACAGATGACATTTTAACATTGTGACACACATTAACTAACTGTTCTCGCAGAGGGCAAAAGACAGCACATTCCCATAGGGACAGCATGACAACCACCGTCTACATTACACAACCCTTCTTTTTCCTCCCTATCTCTCTCACACACACACACACACACCCTCTCTCACTGTTGCCCAGAGACTCTTGATAGTCGGATCAATTAATTAATCAAGCTGTCAGGACTTTTTAATTGCTTCATTGTGGCACTCAATTCACAAATATGACTGATGTTAAGCTGCAACTCGAAGAATGAAACGGCTGCAAAAAATCTATTTAAAAAACATTTGACTTCAGCACCAGACTTCTATCATCTTATTTGGCATTTTTTACAAGAATAATTATGTAATTGTAGAATTAAATCGATTATGTAACCTGGCTAGGCCCAGATGGAATCTGCAGACTTTTCTGCATTTTCTGTGCCGATTTGGGCAGGGAAATCTGTGGAATGAATCGGAATTGGATTTAAACATGAGATAAACAGAGCTGAGAATATTATTAATAGTTGAAAACATTATGCAAATGATGTAATATATTTAATAGGCGAACATGTGAAGAATTGTAACATTTTATGAATGGCAGGCATTGCAATTTTCTGCAAATCTGTGGCACTTCTGGTGAGAGCATGATTCCATGTGGGCCATTTTACATTTCGAAAATGAATCTGTACACATTATTGGTGACTGCATTCTGTCTCTTTCCATCTCCATATGCTTGTTTTTGTGGGAGCACATCTGAGCTTCGTTTCGTAAAACCTCAAAACGCATTATTTCAAAGTTCATATCCATTCAGTCTGTTATGTATGCCAGCCAATTTAAAGAGGAGCAATTGGGACTCTCTCAAAACAAATTTGCTAATGTTTATTCATGAAATATTTAAGTTGTCTGTTCTCCAAAAATGAATTAGTCACAGCCAGAATTTTGCCATTTACACAATCGGATAATATCAGCACTTTTTTAATTTGCCTTTTAAATGAGATGGTGGACCGACTCATCAAAGTCACATTAAGATGCTCCACAGTTGTTGGCCGTCATTGCTGTAGAAACACAAAGTTCACATGCTGTTTGCTAACTGCGGTCATTCTCGAGTAATTCCCTTAATCAACTGTTTCCTTTTTGCAATTTGAAGCATAATTGAAGGCATGTGGAAAAATCACCACGGGATTCACTTTTCAATCTTTCGAGACTCTTCGTTGAGTTGCTGTGATGTGGTCAGTTTTTTGAACTTGCTTTACCTCAAACTCTGTCAGGAACGTTCATTATTTACATATTTGCTAATCATGCTAGTAAACTGTTAAATTAATCATTATCTACAATTTCAAAGGACAATGCTCAAGTTAAAAATTTCATAATTTTCATAGCTCCATGTGGATTCTTCTATTAAATTATCAACAGGATTCCCAAAGTCTTGGAAATGGAAGACATGAAATACATTATCAGGGAATGTTGACATTCCTTAAATTTTTTTTAAAAATTATAAATAAAGAAAACAAACAGGGTGCGCTTTCTGTCGTCTCGGTCTCCGTGAACATCCTTCTGAAAGGTGTCACAAAAATGAACCAAAACTCAGCGAATACTTGACAAGCAGACATGAGAAATATATGTATAGAAAGCTTGACATGTCTACTTATAAACGAAGTCAGTCATGTCGAAAACAAATATTCTCTGATAAAGTAATCCGTATGAAACAACACAAGGTCCATGCTGCGTCCCAATGTGCCTACTTATACAGTACTACCCCCTTAAAGTATGTACTCTTTTGGTCAGGAAAAAGTACACATAGTTGAGTGTAAAGTAGAGGCAAGCTTTGGGACATACTATCACGTCATACAATTGCTTCTTTAATGGACCACTCTGTTGCATAGTTACACGCACCCTGTCACTGTAAACTCAGTGTCACAGTTAACATCCTCTACAATGAAATATAACACAGATAACATCAAAAAAATATTTTTACCAGGTTAAGTGTTGATTATTAGTAACTCAAATTCCTTCATCTAAACCTCTCTACTTAACCGTCAGTCACGCACATCCGCCATGTCTGTAGTTTTTTTTGAAAATGTTTTTTTATTAGTGTTTGTAGTTCTGAACCGAATCCTTTGCTGAAGTGCAATGGATTGTGGATAATATTAGCCATTAGAGTGTGCACAGATCCACACTTCAAAAATCTACCTGAAATAGTAGACCATCCGGGGGCTTCTGGTATACTCTTTTCAGCATACTATGCTTTGGGACGCACTTATTTTAATCTCACATACTATTTAGGATGGATAGTATGAACATTGGGACGCAGGGCCAGTCTTCTTCTTTTGGATTTATGGCGGGTTGTGAACCAACTTTATATGTGCATTCGCCACCTACTGTGATGGAGTATTTCTTTCTTTGAGCTCATGATCTTAAAGTGATTATGCCCACGCACAGCGCGCACTATTCATATGGTAATCATCCACTTGAGACACGCGAACGCCCACATCACCTCCATAAACAAAGCGTGAAGAATCAAGTTCATCTTGGCTACTTTAAGGGGGTCTGAATACTTTCCGTACCCACTGTATATTAGATATTTGAACATGTTATTAAATAAACTGTTGTCAGTCATGTTGTCATTTAAAATCTGAACATCATTGGCAATGTTATTGTTTTAGTTATGCAAACAAAAACTAATTTTATTTTTTTTCTTGATTTTAAATGTAAAACTTGGTGAAATTATTTGTCTGTCAGTACTTTTTGAACATTTCCAGCACATTTTAACAATACCGTGATAATACTGATAACCGTGATCATTTTGGTCACTATAATCGTGATAAGAAATTCATACCGTTACATCCCTAATGTTTACTGTGAAATACTCTGTTCGCGTGTATATATGTAGATGTTTATAACATGCTTAACAGTAACAATTTATATAGTTTCTCAGATATAAAATATCTTTTGTATTGTATAATACATACAAAGCATGCTTGTGTTTTTAAGGAGTTATGAGTGGGCAATATTAGTGATTGATGATGTAATAATATAGTTGCTCCTGATATCAACAAGCTAACAGATTTTTTTTTTTTTTTTTTTTTGACCAGATAGCTTAAAGACTTCACTTCAAACTGTTTTTCTCTTAGGCCCCATCCACACGGAGACATGTTTAGCTGTATATGCATAAATTTTGTATCATGTAGGCGTTTCGTCCAGACGGATCCGGCGTTTTAGGAGAGTTAAACCGATATTTTTTGAAACCGGGTCCCAGAGTGGATAAATCTGAAAATGCCGCCCTTGCATTTTCATGTGGACAGCGAATCCGTATATTTTCTGAAACGATGACGTCATCAGCCCATGTCTCACCCCTAGTCAGACACCGCTACTTCACGTAACCGCAACAAAAACATGAACAAACACAGACCGATTGTCTTTTTATTAACTAACATTAACACAGATTAATAAATGTATTGTTCCATGTTCGTTTGTATACCGCGCGCAAGGTTTATGTGCATTAGGGATGGGCGTATCGATCCAAAGTATCGATATATCGATACTGACGTGAGTTTCGATACTTAAACAAAAATAACGATACTGAGGTGTTTTATTTACCAGTGATTTTGTTTAACAAAAAAATAATAATGCATACAATATGCATTGAATTGCACAAATACCCTTTGTTAGCGAGTAATTGTGTAGGATAGAACTATTTTCCTGCTCATCTGAATACACTCAAATGTTGCAAGACAGAACTAATCAATCAGAAACCAAGTCATAATGACGAGAAACCAAGTCATAATGACGAGAAACCAAGTCATAATGACGAGAAACCAAGTCATAATGACGAGAAACCAAGTCATAATGACGAGAAACCAAGTCATAATGACGAGAAACCAAGTCATAATGACGAGAAACCAAGTCATAATGACGAGAAACCAAGTCATAATGACGAGAAACCAAGTCATAATGACGAGAAACCAAGTCATAATGACGAGAAACCAAGTCATAATGACGAGAAACCAAGTCATAATGACGAGAAACCAAGTCATAATGACGAGAAACCAAGTCATAATAACGAGAAACCAAGTCATAATGACGAGAAACCAAGTCATAATGACGAGAAACCAAGTCATAATGACGAGAAACCAAGTCATAATGACGAGAAACCAAGTCATAATGACGAGAAACCAAGTCATAATGACGAGAAACCAAGTCATAATGACGAGAAACCAAGTCATAATAACGAGAAACCAAGTCATTATTATGACTTACAGAATTATATTTTTTTTATTTAGTGGCGGAAACGGGCTTCCATAGTTTTCAGCAATGACACGAAGTCTCCTCACATCTCCTGTGTTTATTCAATAATGTGTCTTTGACCTTCAGTGTGTATATTTTGATTATACGGTGTTGTAAATAAAATACAAATAATCAAAACCCCCATTATTTTAATCTCCTCCCATTCTTTCTTACCTGCCTCAGTCACATTCCCTTTGTCTCTCAGGTGCGAATCACACAAATATTCAGAATTGTGAGATATAAACTACCACATCCCGTTCTCAATCTTGTGAACAAATGTTCTGTATATATTTTCTGGCCTTATTTCAGTGACATTTTTATTTGTGACTTTTAATTTTAATTTTTTCACTAACCATGCATAAACGTTGTTTTCTCAAAAACACAAACGTACATATATGTTGCTTACATATTATTGTAGCGCAGTTTGTGCCGAGTAAAGTGTAGACTTTAGCCTTTAGCCATTGATATGTTTTTAAGATACTGGAAAACTCACATGTCAGGGCATGTCAAAACATCTTCAGGGCCCCAAAACCCCCTCAGACCCCAGAGGTGTATATATATATATATATATAATATGGATCTCAAAACTAAAATCTGCCACATGTAATATTGAATGTAGGAGAACCCCTTCTGGTGTCTTTTTTTTTTTTTTTTTTTTTGGAGGGATCAAAAGTATCTTCCAAAGGTGAATTGCTTTTCACACAAATAATTATACAAATAATCTAGTGTGTGTGTGTGTGTGTATATAGCAGCATCTTGTTCCCTACTTCCAAAGTTAGTCTGTGTGGAGTGCGGAACAATACATTTTAGAGGGCTCATTAGCTTTCTACGGAAGTTTTAAGCGGCCATGCATTCCCCCCCCCCTTTTTCTCGTTATAACGACTTAATTTTCTCGTTATATCGACATACAGTGGGTACGGAGTTACTATAACAACAGTAGATCAAACAATCATTATAAAAAAACTTTGTCGAGATCACGAGAAAATTAAGTCGTTATAACGAGAAAACAACTCGTTATGTCGATAAAACGAGAAGGGAAAAAAATAATGCATGGCCGCTTAGAACTTCCGTAGCTTTCTATTTTCTCTCCTTTTATTGAAATACATAAACATGAAGGGCTGCAAAGGAAAGAAACCAAAAGTGAGATTTAACATCTCAGATATTTTAAGGAAAGTTTAACATCTCATTTCTGTATAGGAGAAATACTTGAGGTTACTGTAACATCAAATGGAGACTCATGCTTAAGTCTCTTGCTTCTCACACTTGTTTTAGAAGAGATCTCATCATCATCATTACACACTGTGCTGAGAAATCTATGAGAATCATAACTAAGTCTTGTGAGCTTAGAGTAAACTCTGAGCAATAAAATGTTACTATAATGGAGTCTCGAAAGAGATTGTGAGAATAAATACTGTAGATATACTGTTACTTCTACCACATTCTCAGTTTTAACTCCTTTTGTCTCAAATATTTGTCTTATTTGAGTCTACTTTTATTTACCTTTAGGAGAAACATCTGAAATGCTGTTGATACTAAAATGAGACCTATATGAGAATCACAACTAAGGGCCCTATCATACACCTAGCACAATGCGGCGCCAGGCGCGACACACGTGTTTTTTGCTAGTTTCAGCCCGACGCAGTTCTCATTTTCACGTCCTGCGCCACGCTGTTTAAATAGCAAATGCATTTGCGCCCATTTGTGCGCTGGTCTGAAAACTAGGTGTGTTCAGGTGCATTGCTGACACGTTGTTATTTTGAAGCAACTGAAAAGGGCCGCGTCATTGACCAACAGAAACCTGGTATAAAGTCTGGAGCAATATTTATTTATTTTCGTTATTTAAAGAGCCCGTTAGTAATATGCGCCTATAGGCGGGTGCACAACGCTCGTACACTTAGCTTATTACACACACACATTGACGCGCAGCAGAACGCAAACATTTTAAAAAATGAAAAATTAAAGGATTAAAATGTAAACCATTATTATTATTGTGTACATATAAAAATGCCTACATGTCATAATGGATAGTCTTTGCATGTATCAGAATTACACGCACGAGCAGATCCGTTCTCTCACTAGAGAAGCACGCCGCCGTGTAAATAGCGAATCCGCCATTGCACTAGCGCAACTGGCTTTTAAAGGGAATGGGAGATGAGACGCTGATTGGTTTATGGAACGGTACACCCAAAACACACCCATTACTCATTAAGAGAATAGGAACAACCCTTTTAGACCATGCGCCGGGCACGCCAACCATTTTTCCCATCCTTAAACTAGCAAAAGTGGATTCGGACATGCCCTAAGCGCGATTGCGCTTTAGACCATGCGCTTAGATTGTTAAAATAGGGCCCTAAGTCTCCTGAGCTTAGAGATCTCTCCATTCTTTGAAAGTGGGAAAACTTGAAAAATCAGCAGTGTATCAAATACTTATTTGCCCCACTGTATTTCCTCTAGGGCTGCTCCACTTAAAAGGTTTCCATTCATTTTGGGTTTGGAAAGTAGCTATACTTTAAACTAATCCAGTGTTATGAAAGTTGAGAATGTTGCTTGTTCGTGCTACCAAAAATTGAGGGGGGATGTTTGGGGTTTGCTCATTCCTATATGGCTTTTAAGTGCAATGAAGTTTGAAAGTGACTGTTACGGCCAGCTCGTTACAAGCCACAACATAAAAGAGGAATCACACACCACCGTTCAATCAATACAAATTAATTTATTTTCTTTATCAAATATAACAATAAGCCCAAAAAAAGAAAACCTAAGTCTAGGGAAAAATAAGGAAACAAAAGAAATGACAACAAAATCCTAAAGCTACATGATACAAGAACGTAATAAAAGATCATATAAATCAGAGCAATGTCACGTTCTGGTCAAGAGCTGCTCCTGGGAGAACTATCCCTCCAGGAGTGCTCACCTCAATGAACGATCTGAAGTCCCTATATAGTCTACACCCCTAATTATCATTAATTGATTAATTGACTTGTGGAAGTTACGCAAAACTCCCACAGTCTGCCCCCAACAGGTAAGGAGAACACTCAGGGTCGTCACAGTGACTCGCTTTGAAAAGGACTTATTGAATTACCAAAGTAATTTAAAACCTATGAAGTCACAGCAGAGATTGAACTACCTTGGAATATTACTGAAAACTTCCGCTTAGTGGCTATATTACGTGTTTCTTTGCATAGAACACTATGGAGGCCACTGCATGATTAGTGACAAGTACTATTAAAAAGCTTATTCTTCTATTTTCCATGTAGCAAGTGAAACGATTACTCTAAATCAGGGGTCTCCAAACTCGGTCCTGGAGGGCCGGTGTCCTGCAAAGTTTAGCTCCAACCCTAAATCAAACACATCTTCCTGGAAGTTTCAAGTATATTTTGTGTTTGATTAGGGTTGGAGCTAAACTCTGCAGGACAGTGGCCCTCCAGGACCGAGTTTGGTGACCCCTGCTCTAAATGGCACAAATGCAATATCTTTTGTTAAATGTGAGCCAAAATCATCCCAATTAAAAGAACCAAAGACTTAAACTACTTCAGTCTGTGTGCATTGAATTTATTTAATACACGAGTTTCACAATTTGAGTTGAATTACTGAAATAAATGAACTTTTCCACGACATTCTAATTTGAGATGCACCTGTATTCTCGTTGCTTCATAAAATTATGGTTGAACCCCTGATGTCACATGGATTATTTTACTGATCTCCTTGCTACATTTCTGGACCTTGATCGTGGTACATTGCTGTCTATGGGAAGGTCAGACAGCTCTCAGAACTCATCAAAAATATCTTAATTTGTGTTCCGAAGATGAACAGAGGTCTTACGGGTTTAGAACAACATGAGGGTGAGTAATTAATGACAGAATTTTCATTTTTGGGTGAACTAACCCTTGTAACATGTTTACACTTCAGTATTCACAGACTTCACAAATTTAAATGTATAATACAACCTAAATATGTAAATTAAATCCGTGCACATCAGTCACACACACACACACACACGAGACACTTCTCCATGAGACTGAGCATTAACTCGCCCTCTCATTTCTCCCACAGACAGCAGTGTGTGACCAACCAGCCCCACAGGAGCACAGCACGGACCCACTGCACTGGGAAGAAGGAAGAGGGCACTCACGGCACCGGAGCACCCACCTGGACCTTCCTCCTTTTCACACCCTCTTGTAAGTAAATCCACCCTCTGGGGCATTTATTGAGCCATCCTTGTCGTGTGATTCTTCACCCCGTGACAATATGTTTTAGAATGGGTAAATACATGTGGGGCTTAATTTGTTCAACCATGTAGGTCCCTATTGTGTAAACCTAGGTGGGCTCCCTTTGTGGGTACAATCGGGTCACCAATTGGAAATGAGTGTATGGGCTCAAAATGGGCAACATAAATGGGGCCCATTTGGGTTTTACATATAGGTTGGATATTGGCAAACCCAATTAAATCCATATAGGCTGCCTACGTGTGTCCTAGGTAGTGCACAAGTAGGTAATCAATATACGGTTTCAGAATGTGTAAGTACATGTGGGGCCTGCTTTGTTCAACCATGTAGTTCCCACATGGGCAAATGGAAGGAAGTGCACAAATAGTATGGTTATAAATGGGGAAAATACCCACTTAGCCAAACCACATCGGTAGGACGTAGACCAACACAATTCAAAAATTCTTAAAGGAATAGTTTACCCCAAAATTAAAATTGTCATCTACTCACCCTCAAGGAAGATATTTTGATGAATGTTGGTAACCGGTTCCCATTGACCATAATATGGATAAGAATATAGAAGTCATTGGGAACCAGCAACTGTTCGGTAACAACATTCTTCAAAATGTCTTTGTTCGACAGAAGAAGGAAACTCATACAGGTTTGAAACAACTTGGGGGTGAGTAAATGATGACAGAATTTTCACTTTTGGTTGAACTATCTCTAAAAATAAAGGTTTTAAAATGATTCTTTGTCTTATGGTTCCA